CGGCGCCCCAGTGTTCTGCCCGAGAGCGCAGCCCGAGCTGCTGGCTGGGTCCGCGAAGATGTCTGTGCTCCGGAGGATGATGCGGGTCTCCAATCGCTCGCTCCTCGCCTTCATATTCTTCTTCTCCCTCTCCTCGTCTTGCCTCTACTTCATCTATGTGGCTCCGGGCATCGGTAAGTACCACGACACACCCTCCCCTCCCACGGTCACCGCGAAGAAAACGCCGGCTGTTACTTCTGGGATCTGGCAGCTGTATAACCCGCTGCCCTCAGAATGCATTGCATTTTTAGACGTGCCCGGCTGCTTTGGGGCAGGTTGTAGCCTTTGAGTTTTACTAGTAATGCATGTTTGGATAACATACAGCAAAATGAGGTGTGGTCGCCCTGGGTACCCTAACCGTTCTTTTGATGAGCTCATGACAGCTTGAACCCTTTACTGTCAAGCCGTTAGGTCAATGTTGAATCGTCTTTTTCTTAAAACACCCTCGGATAGAATGACTGGTTGTAAACCTAGGACGAAGAAACAATCAGCGAGGGGCGCAGTTGAACTCAAGAACGTGATCCTGTTGTTCTAGGTCACTTTTTAAGAATGGGGTCAGTGAACATTTGTGCCACACAAGGAAATTTTAGGGCGTGTGGAAAGTGTCTTGTAAAAGGAACATGCCATTATTTAATCTGTTTGCCTCTGTTATCCTAGGATGGCTTTGGAGATAATCAATTAAAATATCAAAGATGTAAACACTTGTAGTTTAAAAGTGTATCCCTTCCACCATATGCTCTGCGGGAGAAGGAGGGACAATTTCCTCCTCTACCAGTCAGATCTGATTTGACAGTACACGCACTAGTAGTAGTAGTAATAATAATAATAATAATAATAATAATAATAATAAAGTGTATCCTTCTGTTCCATTTGTGATCTTTTGGCCTTTGGACCAAAATACTTTTTTTTCTGATCTAGTTGAATTGTTTTGTTGTAAATATCCTTATCTTTGTTTAGGAGGAACCAATGTGTCGTTTATTCAGATAAATGAAAAGGTTGGAACTTGATCTGAATACTAGAAACACATTCCATTTCCAGAGTTATTCAGAGTTTGCCTTGTACTTGGTAGCAGTCAGCGCGCCTCTTGTAATTTCCCTTATACTCAACAAATTAGATTTATTAAATTTAAAAACTGTTAAAATGATAGATTAATTTTAAAAATCTGTAATTTTTAAAAAGATGCTCTTGAACGAGTGCCACAGCTCATCTGATTTAGTTGAAAAGATGAGTACTTTTACAGAATAAAAGCACTCCTAACATTTTTAGTTGGAATTGTTATTAGAAATTATTATTGTTTTACATAATGATAATACATAGTTTAATTTTAAAGGAGGAAGAAGAAGGAAACTTAAGAGACCATTCCTTCCCCAAAAATATTTCTTAGTTGATTATATTTTTGGATCTACTTAAGAAAGTAGTCTGTATGCAACAATGAATGAATTGAAATCCAAGTTCTCTCTAATCTTTCATTAAAATCTCAATTAAAAAAAAATCACACACACACACAGAGAATGTATTCTGTAGGGAGTTGAGCTACTTACCTGAGAAGTGCTGCTTCTCTGCAGGTTCAGGAAGGATGGGCAGTCTCCTCTAATGTTGTTTTTGGTGGTGTTAAGTGCTGTTGAGTCAGAACGAATCCATAGCTGACTCTCATGCAGATTTTAGAGGCAGTAAATCTCAAAGGAGAAGATTACCCACCTTTCCCCAGTGGAATAGTGAGCGGGTGAATGAAAACCATGTGCCTCAGATTAGGCAGCACAATTCCATACCATTAAGCCACCAGAGCTCCCCTCCTGGACAGTTTACAGCCTCAGAAAACTCACTGGAGGGTCAGCTAAGAGTCACTTCTGATAGGATGGCAGTGAGTTTGAGGGAGTTAATGCTTGACAAGACATGAATTGTTAAAACCATAATGTATCCCAGAATAGAAGTTCGAGGTTACAGTTTGAGGAAGTATGAATATTTTAACGTGGCATTTCCATTACTGTTGTGTTTTCTATAAGCTAACAACCCTTGCAGCTTATAATAGGAGTGACTGTTACAGTGCAGTGGATTTTGAAGGTACTTGGACAAAATATTCACTAAAGGCATCTTAAAATTCTCATGGACTGCTAAGAGAACAAACAGATTCAACCTGGAGAGGGTTAAACCCGGCTGCTCCTTGGAGGCAAGGATTCTGAGGCTTCCTCTGACATACTTTGGTCAAGTTGTAAGGAGAGACCGGTCCTTGGAGAGGGACATCATGCTTGTGAGGGTGGAGGAGCAGGTGCAGGAGGGGAAGGCCCTCTATGAGGTGGATTGATTTGGTGACTGGGACAGTCGGGATGAGTGTGTCGGAGGCTGTGAGATTGGCACAGGACAGAGCAGAGTTTAGAGCTGTTGTACATAGGGTCGCTATGAATCGCAAGCCACTCGATGGCACATAACAACAACAACAACAACAACAACAACAACCTTTTATTATATATTGATTTTTACTTTCTCATGTAGTTCTTTAAAGATTGAAAATCTTTAGAAGTATGTTATTTTTTTCAGGAGTTTAACTTTGAGAGAGAATTTGGAGAAAAGAATTTGTTACACGGTAACAATTTTCTTTCACTTTCAGCAAAGGTTTTTAAAGTGATGTTACTTAAAAAATTAATCAAATGAAACCAGTATTCCGGCTTTTGCTTCATAGGTGTTTGTTTTCTTGTTAGTGTATTAGGTATTATCTGTAGATTTTAAAAAATTCAGTTGATGTGGAATGCTGATGCATTTTTTAATTGGCCTGTTTATTATGTACTATAGACTGTCGCTTTAATGCCATGATGTTATGAATGGTCTGGCAGTTATCTTGCAAGATTTTATTTGATTTTAACTCATTTAGACTAGTGTGTTCTTGTGGGTTTTTTAAATTATGAAGCTAGTAAGAAAAAGAAATCCAAAACATATGACTTACCACCAACTTGTTAAACTGATTATTGCCAAAACCCAGTACTGTTTAGCAAAAAGAAAGAAAAAAAAAAATCCTTTTATTTTACTGTATAATTAATGGGAAACCTTTTTTTTGCAAAGTTCAGTTTTCCCCTGCGAGTAAAAATACCTGTCAGGTGTTAGCTTTTGAAGAAAATGTGCATTAGATACGGGAATCTACAAAGCTATATTTTGTCAGGTTTTCTCCCCCCAAGGTAGAAATGATGTTCCATTAAAAATGTGGCTGTTTCATCTCACAGTGGAACAATCAATTGCGTAAGTGCTTTCTTCTCCAAACAAGCACAATTAAAAATGCTTTACTGTCGACTTCCTGTTTCTTCACGCATTTTTTATCAATAAGAAGATACAGCCAAAACTAATTATCTTCTTAGTTTTCATTACATGTAGGTAGAGTCTTGTAGAAACAATGTATTAGCATGAATTACATCTTGGGGCACATATTTCTTATAGTTAGAATATATGTTGAGTAAATGCTTTTTTTTTTTTCTTTTAAAATTTATATTCTTTAACACACTCTCTCTCTTTTTTTTAATAAAAAGGCCCTTAGCAATCTACCAGCCTGTTTGGTAGGCTTCAGCTATATCTCCCAACCTATGTAGTTCATAGATCTGTTTTTATCCTGTGCCTTCCAGGCTCTCTTTCTGCCTTTTTTAGGGACTCTTTCACCTTCTTCTCCTGTGTCTGTCCTCTGTCCTCCCTTCCTTCCTCTTTCTTGAATAGACAGACCAACTCCATGGTTGTAAACAGTAGAATCTGCTTAGTTTCTAATACATTTTGTTATGAGGCTCAGCATTTTCTTGGCTATTCAGATCTTAATCTGTAATGAATTCCATAGAACTAGAAGCTAATGATTTTACATAACACTTTGAAGTGTTTTTCCTTAAAATTTCTAATTCATGCAGGATGTTGTTGTTGTTGTTGATTGCCTTGAGTCGAGCACTACTCATAGCGATCCTGTGAACAAGATAGACCTTATATAGCAGTATGGACTTGAGTGCAGAGAGAACTGGTCTGTAGGCAATCCAGTTACCAACCTAGGAAGTCTGTGGGCAGATCACCCGAGCTCTGTCTACCTCGTAAAGACACGAACGAACTATAAGTTCTTTCTCATGACACGTCTACCTTTATGCGTGGCTGTAAAAAGATGAGTGTAGTGCCCCTGCAAGGTTCTGACTTGATGGGTTAAGAGTGGAATTTCATGTCCTTTTAAAACTATTTCCACTATGTCTTCCAACACAGCATGTAATTTACTAGAAACTCAGGTGGCCTAGTGGGAAGGAGTCGCACTGCCAGCACAAGGGCAGGCAGTTTGAGTCCAGCAGCTGCTCATGGGAGAATGATGTGGACAGTCTCTGCAAATGCAATTTACAGGCTTCCGAAAACCCACTGGAGAGTCATCTATGAGTCAGTTCTAACTAGATGGCACATGATAACAACACTGCCTGGGTAATTGTTATTTTTATTCATCAAATAAGAACAAAGCTCCTGAAATAAAATCAGCCGTTGTTTGAGGTACAGAAAATTTAGAATTAAGACAGGGTTAAAAATCTTAAGAAGGGTCAAATTCTTAAATTAAGTAGAATTCCTCCCTTCATTAATTGTGCTCACTTCGGCAGCACATATACTAAACTTGAATCGATACAGAGAAGAAGAGCATTGTTAATTTTTGTGAGATGCCTTTTAGTCGTCATGAAACTGCGCTCTCCTGTGCAAGCCTCACAGTTTTTTAAGTTTTGGATCTCACTGTTGCAATAATCTGTCTTGTTGAGGGTCGTTTTTTCGATAACTTTCTATTTTAACGAGCATGATGTTCTCCAGGAATTGGTCCAGAGCATGGAAGATGAAGTCTCACAATCTTCCTTTCTCAGAAGCAGGAGCTAGAATAATTTTCTGAAAGTGTGCAGTGGGAAATCAGGACTGGTGAAGGAGTTTTGGAGGGGTTGATAGTTGCATGAGGGAAGGGAAAAAGGGTGGGTTTTGTCAGATGGAGCAGGAAGAGTGGAAGGGGTCTAGACAACAGGAATGCCACGAACAACGGTGATGGTTGTTGGGTGCCAGCACATTGACTGATTCCTAGCAACCCTGTGATTTGGACCTGCCCCTCCCCTGTGCCATTCTCGGCATCTCCAACATACATGAGCCCATTGTTACAGCCACTGTG